TGGTTTTTTGCCTTGCCTTTATCATTGTTTGTCTCGCCTTTAACATAATGATGTGTTGTTTTTCCTGAACAGATGGAAATAAAATGAAGAAAAAGAAGAATAAAGTTTATTTTGCAGAAAATGTTGTGGATACGTGTAAAGATGGCGAAGAATACAAAAAGAAACATTCTTTGAAGATGAATACAAAATACAAAAGATGTTCAATGTTTGTAAGAAAGTGATAGAGAATAATACTATGACAACAAAGATAATGTTCCCTACCATTATTTCTCTCTTAGCATGTTATTTCTATGCACAACTTCTTAATAACTTCTATGACCCTAGAAACCATGCTTGCTCAAAATTATTAACCAAACAAAAGCACACGAAAACCAGACAAACACATACGAGATGAGGAAAAAAATGAAACCTGATACGAATTGCAGTTGGCCGGAGAAGTGGAGCGCCGTTGACCGCCGTTGACCGCCGTAGAAGCTCTGGTTTAGGGTTTTTTCGTGAAGAAAATCTGACTGAGAATAGAAAAATGATATGAATTGTATTTTGATATTTATTATAAAACTACCTACGAAAGCACTTTAAAAGCGCTTTCTAAAGGTCATCTATAACAGCGATTTTACATCAAAAAGCGCTTTCGTAGCATATCCTATAGCAGCGCTTTTAAAAGCGTTTTCTAAATGCCAGCTTTAGCAGCGCTTTGGAAAAGCGCTTTCTAAGGCTGACCTTTAGCAGCGCTTTTGAAAAGCGCTTTCTTAAGGTACCCTCTGAAAGGCCAGCTTTAGCAGCGCTTCCCAAAAAGCGCTTTCTAGGGTGACCTTTAGAAGCGCTTTTGAAAAGCGCTTTCTTAAGGGACCCTTTGAAAACGCTTTTTTAAGCGGATTTTTTTTAAAACCTACAGCAACGCTTTTTTCTAAAAGCACTTTCTTTTATGTGTTGCTAAAACTTATTTTTGGCGTAGTGAATATACCAATTTTTGTAAAAAATCTGTAACAATTTTTTATACCAAAAGTAAGAAATGATATTAAAAAAAGTAGTTAAGTAGAAAATCTCTTTTAGGGATGATTATTGCATGCACCCCTTTCCAGTGTTTTAGACTATACAGTTTTTCTATCGGTCACATAATTTTTTTTTCTAAATCTTTCAGCAACACATCATTTTCATTTATTCTCCAAAATTCCTTTCATCCTTTCCAACTGAGTTTTTGTTTAAACCATCGCTTGCCTTATACATTACTATAAAGAAAATCAACAATATTAAAAATATTTTACATAGAAATGGTTAAAAAATACAGACAACTACAAAGTGATAAACTAAAATGAATAACTTTCAATAACTAATGAAACCTATAGAAATTATAGTGCCTACAAAATTATTGTAATTACCAATAGATGGTCATACCGGTAACATTCTGAAAGATTATGCCTCTCCATCCTTTCCACCATCTCTCACATTCTTCTATCTTACTTGATTTATTCATTAAAAACTATAAAAAAAATTAAAAACCATTAAATATATGAAGATAGTGATGTAACAATTATGCAAAATAAGAATAAAGTTATTAGATATTCTTAAATATTTAAGAACCTTTAAATTTTGAAGAAGAAAAATTCAAAAAATGAGAAATTTTAAAATAGTGATGCAGGTACGCTTTTCTTTAGGCTTGCCTTTCTCTTCCTTCTAACTTCCATGTAATTAAAGTAAAAGGTAATTATGGAATATAAAAAATAAATAAAGGATAAATAGTAGTTTAAAAAATATGCAGTTAACAAAGGATATTAATGAAAGAAAAATAGATCAGCCCAAAGAGTTGTATTTTCTTTATATATAGTTATAGATAAAAGGAAGTTATTAATATAATTAAATATTAACAACTATATAATTATATGAATTGATTTTTTGGATGCAAAAACTAATTTTATATAGTATAGAAGTTTACGGTGTGATTGAATTGTTATGATGTATTGATTATATAAAAAAATTTACACGCGCACAATAAATAGTAAGTACTTTTCACCCCACAAATCCTAGCAGTTTAACAGTTTCTTTACCACCGCAACCATGGCTGAGGGTTTTGTTCTTCGCGGAACCATGCATGCTCACACTGACTACTATTCTCATGAAGAAATGCTTCAATTTAAGAAGCCCAAGAAGAAAAAGTCCTTACGAAAGAAAGATAAGCCGGACATTAATGCCCTTGAAGCTGAAGCTTGTTAGATATTTAGGGTGTGATAATCCTGGATAACTTCGAAGAATCGTGTTCGTACACTTTCCGAACAAAGTATTTCGATCCTATTCTTGTCTGGGCTCACGAAATCTTTGTGGGGATAATTCTCGAAGAAATTCTGTTTCCGACAAAAGAAAACGTATTGTAATTATAGAGAGAAGGATGCGTTTTTTTTTCTCTGTGTGCGAGACCGAGGCCGAACGACTCCTTATATAGGAGAACAGTAATCGAAAACGAAGAGACATATTTGTTCGAAACGAATATGTCAGTTGGGAAACAGTTATGTCCGTTGGGGAAAGGATTCAAAATTTTTGCACGGGGCGCTGCCCCGCACCCCGCCAGGGGCTTCGCCCCTTGGAACCCCGTTTCAATTATTCGTATTCAATTATGCATTGGCTCGACGAGCGTGCACTCCGCACTTCCCTAACTCGTCTCCGAACTTAACGCATAATTGCATCGGCCTTTAGAAATCACATTACTACTAAAATACATTGGTGATACAAAATCACCAACAAAGCTATCTCTTCAGGATTGGGTGTTGGCGACCTTGGTTCTCGGAAAGATGCGAAGAGGCAAGCCATCAAAGATGAGCAAGAAAGATTGGCAGCTGAAATGAGAAATAATGCTTACCAGTCTGCTTATGCTAAAGCAGATGAAGCCTCCAAATTACTTCGTCCTGAACAATCTCTGTACCATAAAACAGGGGAAGATGAAACCACAACTTTTGCATATGATGACGAGGAGGAGAAAGGAGCATCTGGCCCTCAAGCTATTGCTTTACTTGCCGCCTCAAATTCTAGTAATGAGACTGTTGATGATCAAATTTCTACTGCCGTAGAGTCAAGAGAAAATAAGGTGGTCTTTACTCTAGACACACTAATTCTTGAGAGTTCTCAACTCTAGAGATCCAAAGACTATTCTAAAAAATATTACAATTATAAGAAATATCTAGAGATTCCAAATATTACAAGAATTCTCTAGAAAACTATTTAAGCTCAAAATAACTAAGCCCAAAAACCAATTAATAAATTTAATCTCAAATCAAATTTAATATTTTCAACAAAAATCCTCTTGTTTTGCAGAGGTGTTGTGCTCAACCTCTTACATAATTTTCTTTGTTTCGTTTATCAATTGTCAATTTTATTTTTTTTCCATTCAATTCTTGCTATAACGTTTTCTCCCATTATTAACATTACTATTTTTATTACCTTATGCTGCAAAAGAATTGAATCAGTAGATTTGATAAATTTTATAGTTAAAAAAACTCATTATTTATGTTACAGATATATTAAACCTCAAAATTTGAAGCGAATATAAATATTGTATTCATACTAAGAGTGATGCTATATGTAACGAACACTTTTTCACATGAATATCACGATCGCTTGCTATTAAATGAAAAAGGAAAAAAAATTACCGTCAAACCGTCATTTCAAACATTATGCACCACGGTTTAGCTAACTCCAGTTGAAATTATTGAAATTATATCATCAATTTAACTCAAAATCCATGGATGGTGAGTTTGGTTTTCAGTAGGGGTGTGCATGGATCAATAACTAAATCAAATTGAATCATATATATGATTTGGTTTGGATCTTAAAACTACTTCATTAAAACCGGTTTATATTTCTAAAATCGGTTTATATGTGGATCAGTTTGGTTTTGAATCGATTTCTCACAAAAATCAGTTTTTAAAAAGAAACCAATTTTAAACTGATTTTTCTAAAAACCAGTTTTTAATTTTCTTTAAAAAATCAATTTCAAAACCAATTTTATAAAAAACCAGTTTCAAAATCAATTTCAAGAATCTTTACTTAATGTATTCTAATTTGAATTCATCTTCTGATACATCCTTCTAAAATCAAACCTTAGAACTTTTACTTCTTAAATGGTGAAAAGTTAAAATTGAAATGAGTACATGTATACAAAATTTGTATGGAATTTAATGCTTAAAAGTTGTATTTTTGACAGCATTTTTCAGTGCACCCTTGGTTGCTGATGAAGTTGGATTGATGGCCTTTCGTATCTTAAAGACATTTCAAGCAGTGTTAGCAGCATGTCCTGCAGTTGCAAACACATGCTCAGTAGCTTCCCCAGCATTTTCCCCAAACCTGTTGTTCCCCAAGTATGATAGATGTATAAAAATGTAAATAATAATGTATTGATGACCAAGACTTATTTGTTAGCAACAACAAAAGTATATTCCTTATAAGATTGAGTCCTCCCTTTACCTGTTAGAGACCATTCTTGATGCAACTTTTGAGGTAGCAGAAAGAGTTTGTTTTTCAGCAGATTCAATAACACAAACAAAACTGATTTTAAGAAGTGAGTAATCAAAAAAGGATCATAGTGAGCGCTACCCATGAAGCCATTGTTGAGAAGAAGAAAAGGAATTACCCAAGGGAATTGAATGTAGAGTTGAGGATTTAGAGTTGACATTTGTGACGGCAAACAAAACGCTTATGGCGGTGACGACAGAGGAATAGGCGGTAGCGGCAGAGGAATAAGCAGCAGCCGTTTGGGTTTGAAGGGTTAAGTAATTGAAGATTGTTGCAGTCAGTAAAAGAGAATTTTGAGAGTGTTTCAAATGTGGTAACCGATAGACTGATCCAAATTGATTAATGGTTTCCAGTTTTTTTTTTTGTTTTGATAAATGGACCACCCGTTTTAAAATATAATTTGTATTGGATTTTGATATATGGATTAATATGGATACAAATTTGGTTTATGGTTATTGGTTTGTACACCCCTAGTAGATGGTTTGTGTGTATAAGAAAATTTAAATGAGAGTAAAAAGAGAGGGAATATAATGAGTGGTGAAGCATTCCAGAGAATCACTCCTCATTCTGATTTTGGGATCGCTTTTGTTGGTTCTAGAGGTGTAATTAGAATGGGAATGAACAAAGGTTTGCAAAAGATAGAGCGAAAAATTCTGCATCTCCTTCACAAGACCAAAACCCAAAGTGATCTTCCACAAATCCACGCCCACTTCCTCCGCCATGGCCTCCACCAATCCAACCAAATCCTCTCCCATTTCGTCACCGTCTGCGCCTCTCTTCAACAAACCCCTTATGCCACTCTCATCTTCGACCATACCCATAACCCCAACATTCTCCTCTTCAACTCCATCATCAAAGCTCATTCTTCATTCCCTCCTTTCCATCATTCCTTCCACTTTTTCTCCCGCATGAAAATAACCCACGCCATTTCCCCTGATAGCTTCACTTTCCCGCCTTTACTCAAAGCCACTTCCAATCTCCGACACTGCAAACTTGGTCAGTCCCTTCATGCCCACGTTACTTCACTTGGATTTTATCCTCATAGTCCCGTTCAAATCGGGTTGCTTGACCTTTACTCTACCTGTGGGGAAATGGAAGATGCTAACAAGGTGTTTGATGAAATGCCTCGTAGAGAGGTTGTCGTTTGGAACTTGATGATTCATGGGTTTTGCAAGTTGGGTAATTTGGAAATGGGTTTCAAGCTATTTAAAGAGATGAACCAACGCACTGTTGTGTCTTGGAACCTCATGATTTCTTGTTTAGCGCTGAGTAAGAAAGACCAGAATGCTCTTGAGCTTTTTCGTCAAATGTTGGAGCAAGGTTTTGAACTGGATGACGCAACGTTGGTTACGGTACTACCCGTTTGTGCTCGCCTAGGAAATGTTGATGCTGGTGAGTGGATTCACTCCTATGCAGATGAAAAGGGGCTACTGAGAGAAGTCGTTTCTGTGGGAAATTCGCTTGTGGATTTCTATTGTAAATGTGGTAACTTAGAAGCTGCATGGAGTGTTTTCAATGCGATGACGAATAAAAATGTTGTTTCTTGGAATGCAATGATATCTGGTTTGGGTTATAATGGAAAGGGTGAACTTGGTGTTGACTTGTTTGAAGAGATGGTGAAAGAAGGGGTGACCCCTTCTGATTCTACTTTTGTTGGTGTTTTGGCGTGTTGTGCTCATGTTGGTTTAGTCGATAAAGGAAGAGAACTTTTTAATTCTATGACTGCAGAGTTTAAGATGTCACCAAAACTAGAGCATTATGGATGTGTTGTTGATTTACTTGGTCGTTGTGGGCATGTCAGGGAAGCTTATGACTTGATTAGAACCATGCCCTTGATGCCAAATGCTGCCTTATGGGGTGCTTTGCTTAGCGCTTGTCGCAGTTATGGTGATAGGGAAGTTGCTGAAATTGCAGCGAAAGAGCTTGTTCATCTTGAACCAAAGAATTCTGGAAACTACGTGTTGTTGTCGAATGTTTATGCAGAAGAAGGGAAATGGGATGAAGTTGAGAAAGTTAGAGTGTTGATGCAGGGAGGTGGCATCAAGAAAGTTCCAGGGCAGAGTGCAACGGGATAGTGTCAAGAAATAACTGTCTTTTAGTCAACTTAACTGAAAAGGTTGTTTCATGGAGATTGGAGGATGCTATCAATTTCATGATGTATGAGTATTTTAAAACAAATATCAGTCGAGCCAATTCTTGACAATTCTAACATTTTATGGTTTGGAATTGAAAAGGAGCCAGTGGTTTGATTATGTAAAACTAAAGTTTGGCTCGAGTGCGCAATACACACTGCATCATGCAGCAATATTTATTATAATACGCAAATTTTGTGCTCTTTAGATAAAGAAGAATCCATGTATCAGGTGTGTCCATGTAACATAGTTATGTATTTGGTTGAAATATTTCATTAAAAATGGAAGTTTTGCTTCAGATTGTATTGTATGGTACCGTAATACAGACTTTCAGAATACATTATGATAAATAGTCACTCATCCAAACTAATAGGAACATGTTGCTCTCCGGTTAAAGACAGAGAAATTCAACGAGTATCTATTTCTTACTACTATTACATAATGTCACACACTCACATTAAATAAACCAGTGCCGCTGCAACGATGAATAGATAGCTTCTAATCAAAATAGGTACACCTGGAGCCGTATTTATCTCTCCTCCAATATAGTCTTCCAAATTGAAGTTCCCTATACACGTTACATTTTGTTCGTGCATAAAAATTCATGATAAAAATAGGAAGAAAGGGAAGTTCAATTTTAGTTAGCAGAAGACTAAGTTACTAGTATTCTGACCTCGTTGTCTAGAGTAGCTGCAGCCAGCATTGAGTGCATATCTCAGTTGTTGTAATGTTGCTTTGTTGTTGAAGGTGACCAACTCCGCCGGCGTTTAGATCGGTGCAACTCCAACTTGTATCGGATGCAAGGGTAGCGCGGAAGAGCGAATGACTGAACTGCGGAGTTCTGTTATTAACTTGAAGAACGTATCTTGAAGTAAGTCTTCTTTTTTTTGTTTTGTTACTTCACTTCATATCACTTTTACTTTTGTTCTTTGATGAAGTATTAAATTGTAGATTCTGCAATGTAAACTTGATATACACGACTCATTACTTTATGCTTCAGGTCATAAACTCATAATTATATATTAATTGGCGAATAATGAACGCTTAGAATTTTAATGGCTCTTGTGTAGAGTTTGGACTAGTTTAGTTTATGTAATTTTAGGGTTAGTCTATAGAGGTCGCATTGTAGTGTAGAAGCCCCTAGGTGGTATGTGAAACTTCATTGCGTTACAGCAGTAGCACCACCAATAGCTTCAGCTATAGTGAAGCTCTTGTAAAATTGTCAATGGTTTGGACTTTTTGGTTATTTCACCCTAAACTAGCCATTTTACCTCATCTTATAGTCGGTCCCTCTATTTTTTATCATTTCACCCCAAAATTCTGAATGACAACACAATAGGACTCTCGTGTCATCTCATCTCGTCTCCTCCTAAAAGGCTTCATCTCTCCTTCTTACCTTGTATGGCTTACTGTCAGTCTTTTCTGCGAATTTCTAGCCCCCCCTCCAGAAGCAATCACAGCAAAACAGAGTCAGAAACCACACTGTCTCTATAGAGATACAGAAAATATAGTAGGGGGAGGATGCAGCACAAATGAGGTCTAGTAGTGAAGGGAAGGGGACTTGGCGACGAGTAAGTTTGGAAATAGTGATTCCATTTAAGGAATCACTTGTATATGTTTTAATTGCTTAAATGAGTTCAAAACTTATTTGCTTTATTTTGAGTTTGAATATTAATAACAATAATTTTGATTATTAGTTAGGAGTATGTCTTTAACTTTTTGTAATCTTTCTATATTTTAGCTTTTATATTTGCCTGTCTTTAACTTTTTGTATTCTTCTATTTTTTAGCTTTTATATCTGTTCTGTATAAATTTCTTGTCTTGTTTTCCTAAATATTGACACAGTAGTTGTATCGATATCCGCTATACCACCAAGAATTTTTGGGGCCGGTAGTTACCCATCATCGATCACATAGAGCAACAAACATTACATTAAACTAATATTAGTAAATAGTAAGACCACAAATTAAATAAAGCACAAACTGTAATAATATTATAAACCAAAGAATAATAGTAATAACTAATAAGCTACTTCAAAATATCAGTCATCCCACTTTCCACTATTGTTCTAGTGTGTTTGGGGTTGGCTGTTTTCCGGGAGATGACACTGTCAAACACACACTTATGTTATTTTCCTGTAAGCCATTCAGAACTGAATCTATGGCCACTTGGTCACAACATTTAGTATTCCTTACTGCATGTGTTGTAGTATTTGAATTATATGTACTATATTAGCATGTTGTCAATTTTGATTTATTGTGTGTTTAAGATTTTCTTGGGTGGATTAGTGATAAAAAAATAATTGGATTGATGGCTCACTGAGTATATGTGTGGGTGAATTGAGTTTAAAAGCCATTGCGTACTTCTATGGTTCAAGTTAATAATTGGTTTTGCTTTGATGGGTTTTAGTGCCAATTCAAGGAACAAATAATTTAGCAGGGTTTTTGATGGGGTGACTTTTTTTATCAAGGTTGCTGAAAAATGGAATCTGGTTGATTGTTAAACAAAAAAAAAAGGATAGAAGATGAGTAGATGGAAGTGAAACCTTGATTTTATGCTTAGCTAGGGTCTGTTAGGCATCACATTCACACTTATGTTTGAATTGTACCACGTAATCAAGAAGTAATCATTTTGATACCATAATTAATCAATCTCACTATTATTTGCTAAAATTAGGCTTGAAGACTGTTTATATGGATCTATCTATTCTAATTTCTAACTCATTGTTCCAGGAAGATTTCTAAATCTGTAAGGATGCAAATCCATCTAAATTCTAATCACAAGGTAATCTTGTTGGACAAAAAAATCCATTGTAACACCAATAGAATAAAAGCCATTCCTGAGTACAACCAAAGACCAGGAAAGATGAGAACTATTAAAAGTCTCCAATGACTGAAAATAAAAACATTGGCAGAGTAATGATAAATGTGAAAATAAGGCAGATCTATGAAATGACAACCAGCCATGAGTTACCATGCTAAGCAATGTATTTTTTATAATTTTTATTGATAACTTACTCTTTCTTGCTTCTGAGAGAAGCACTTAAATTGGCTTCTTTTCTAATTTTTTGAGAAGCATGTTTTCTTTAAAGATAAAAAACACTTATTTTAACTATATTGTTCTTTTCTCTTTAAAGAAGTGCAAGCATACATGGCCTCCAAAGAAAATACATCCATCACCAGCTTAATATATATGTTCAAATTTAGACTGTTTTTATGCTGGAGTTTCTATTATCAACTTGTTTGTTTATTTTGATCTCTAATATTCTGAAACATTGCACTTTTACGGTTATAAAATCCATTCTGTTCTGACAATATCCTCTTAATTTATTATTTTGGATAGGATGAAAGAAACAAGAACAAATAAACAATCTGAAGCAGCTTCCGAGATCTCATCATGGGTTAATAAAAGCCGCAAGCTTGAAAAGAAAAGAGTATCGCAGCTCTCAAAGCATTTTGAGGAGCAGGTTTTGTTACTCATCTCCTGCCTTTAATATGTTGTGATGTTGTCTAAGTTTTTTATTTATTTTTTATTTTTTTGTGCATTTTAGGTATGTAGTCAAGTTTTGTGTAATTTAAAATTTTCTAGGACAACATGGCAGAAGAGGGAAGTGATGATGAGGATACCACACGTCACACTGGTACATCTTTTTCCCTGTTTCTTTTTCCTGTAAAGTTCTGTATTATGTAATTTCTGAAGTCTCAATGCTTGTGCCTTCTACTATGTATACAATTATTAGGCGTTAGTTTACAGAAGTGGGACAACTGTCCTAACAAACTAAAGATTATACATGCAAACAGAGGAGACAACTGTCCCAACTCATTAATAAACTGAGCTAAACAACAGAAACAGAAGGAGTAGGCAATGGCAATGCAGAACAGAGAACTGTTCACACTTCTAATGTACTCTAATATTGAATAGCTAGTCATTGATAGCAGAGACTAGAGTGGTGATCTGTAACAGGTTTCGAACTACCCACACTGTAACAGCTTAACCATAACTAAATTAGTTAAGCTGTCAGTTTTAACCTTTATATCTCTGATTAGTTGTTCCACGGGAGGTACAAGATCACCAATTGAGAGAGAGAAATGGCAATAGCCTTGATGCTTCAAGGAATCCAGAGACAGAACAACTTTTCAGTGTTGTGGAACCAATATCGCGATCTTGTTGCTCCTCAATTGATAAGCATCACCCACCTGCCAAGTTCACATCTTGCTCCATCAAGAGTCACTGTGGAATGTGAGGGTATAAGAGGTAATGATGGAGGCAATTTTCTTCAATTTCTGGCTCATACCATTGATGCTAGAGAAGAATATTGTCTTCATCTAGTTTCCGGTAATGGAGTGTTAGGAACCCAATAATTGAATTCCAAAGAAAGAACACTTTTATTAAGAAATAAGAAAAGAATAGGAGATAAATTCTCCTCCAAGGGGTTTCCCTTCGCAATAGAGATGCTGCTCTATTCACTAATTGTACAGTATTCAAAATATGCAGTCTCTATCTTCATAATTCCCATATTTATAGTGAGTGAGTCACAGACATGATCAGTTACTAAATGGTAAAGCAGTAGTTAACTGTAACAGCAACAGGAAACTAACAAATTCTAACAACTCCTCACATATTAAACTATTAGATGAGTGGGTGTATAGGGAGGACCGAAGAAGTGTAGAACTCGAGTTATAATTGCCAACTATCCCTATACCGCTGTATTGGTTATGAAGTTGACCACTTGGGGCTACTGTTTGAGATTTGAAACTATGATTTAAACAATGATTTAAAATTTGGACGGTCATTTAGAATGTGGAGCTACTGGTTCATGGTTTAATGGCTCAAGCGTAGTGAATCATGGTTGAACAGATGATATGTAAATATACATTAAGTAATAATTTCATATAAATGTAAAAAATTCAGAAACTTTTTATTATTTTTGGATAAACATAAAT